CTCTAAATTTATTAAAAAGACAATATAATAATATAAATATATTATATAATATAATAATTATATATATATATATATATATATATTATTTTATATTTTATATTTTAAAAATATCGATACATATCTAATATTTTTTGTCGCATCGTTTTTAATCTTAAATGCGATCGATGCAATGAAAAAGAATAGACAAATTATCTGATTAGATTTACATTGACTATGACAATAATAGAGGCCATTGTGGCAGGCAATACACAAATGTGATATTATGTTTTTTAATCTGCTGATGACATTAAATAAAAGAGTAAGTTACTTTTTTCAATGTTATAATCTCTTTTCCCCTTTGAAATAAACATTTTTCAAAACGCTGCATGAGTATGGGTAGTTACGCTCATTGCTTTTTCTTTATTCTTTTTCTTCTTTTTTTTCTTCTCTTGTTATACTCCATTGTCTCGCAATAAATTTAGAAAAGATATATACGAATCCCCAGCTCTTTAAAAAAAAAAGATTCTTAATTTCGTTTTTTCGAACAGTATTTGATTAATTGATGGAGAATATTAAGAAATATGCAAAGAACATTGCATAATAACAGCTGTTAATAAAGCATCATGATAACAGATCGCAGCTGTTGTTCATCTAGGTAACACTCAGAAAAATTTGCAATGCATCGATACGGATGTCTCACTCGTTTTGTATCGCTCTGCGAATAGGTGTCTCGAACATTGTTCGAATGTCCGAAATGTTAAAAACACGTTCGCTTGTTTTCTCGTTCCTTTTTCTTATCTTTTCCACTTACTTCTACCCATACCCACACAGTAGAGAAAGAGAAGTAATGCACAGCAGATTTTTTTCCCACTCATTGCCGCGCTGGTAGGCCGGCTGTCGGGTGTATCCCAGTATTCAGAGCGTGTCTTTTACAGAGGTATTCACGCCCAAAGATATAGACCTCGATAACGATGAGGAGATGGACGATGATGAGCGCGAGCTGGAGGCCTTCAAACGGTTCTGCCAGGAATCGATACCGCCGCTACATAAGGAGAAGGTCAAGCTCAATATCAAGGACATCGTGCTGAAGAAGAAATCATCATCGTCCTCGTCGTCGTCATCATCGACGTCGTCATCGGCAGCGGCGGCGGCGGCAACCGCTGTAATAGCGGCCAATTAATTTTGTATAATGATTTGAATAATCATTATTACTGCGTTACTACATGCGATTACTGCCATTTTCAATGTTTCGACGCGCGGACACGATCGCATTGCGAACGATTCGTGTCTTTGTCGACATTATCGTCGTCATCATCGTCGTCGTCGTCGTCGTCATCATCGTTGTTGTTGATTCCGGGTTTTTACAGAAAGACAAGTATGTAATGCCTTCGTAGATGAATATTTATATGTTAGAAGAAGAGAGAAAAAAATGGAGGATGACACTCCGAGCGATGACGGAATGATTGTGTGACGATCGGACGGTGTCACTGTATATGTATATCGCTAAGTTTAATTAGAGTATGTAAGTTTCCTTCGCGACGGGACGAGGAATTTCTCGTGCGAGAAACGTGTTTCGAAGCGTTGTCTCTTGGACGAAAGGTCAACGGCATTTGTAAAAAAAAAAAAAGACTCGATCTCGCCGACACTTTAGGATTAAGTACAATTGTAAAATTGAACACGAAAAATGTCGTTTAAAAAGACAATGTCAGAAGACGCATGCTTGCAGCTTCACAAAGTTTCGCACCAGCGAAAGTCGGGACCCTTATGTCCGACACAAATGCATACACATACATGTGTGATGATAGGCGAATAGACACATTGTTCTCCTCCCTTCCTTTCCTTTCTTTCTTTCCTTTAAAGTAGTTACGCGTTTCTTAGAGCGTCTATATACATATATCATCTCTATGTGTCTCTGTATTTACATTCTCCTTGTAGGAGTAGTCTGTATCCGTATTATTAAGTAGTTTATATTAGCGTAGAACGCACGCCGAGAAGGTTTATATATATACATAATGCAACAAATGTACGTCGCAATGTTTCTTATTGTATTGTAATTAAAGTACTTTTTATACGGTACAAGACTGGGCGTATGGAGCGATAATCTATTATTTTTTTTTTATGTATATAAACTTTGTTCTCACATTGGAATCAATAGAGAATATATGTGAGTGTGTGTACGTATCTTACATACATAAAATGTACACATAGATCATTGCCGTGATTTACATTATTGTTTATTACATCAGTAAATTTTCTTCAGAAAGAACGAAAGTTTATTCAGAACAAAGTTGAATTAAAATTGATCAGAATATATTGTAATTAAATCACACTTTTTGAAAAAAAAAAACTTTATAAAAATGCACGCGCGTCAAAAATCTTTATCTAAATTTTTTTACCCAGATTTTCTATCTTCTTATTTCGAAAATGTGAATACTTTTTTTTTATTTCGAGTACGAGATGTTAACATTTTTTATATGGTTTTCTTTTATATGATTTTAATTTTTAAACGTATATTGATTGTTGATTACTTCAAGAATTTAATTCAGTATGCCATTAGATATCTCGCATGTACATTTTTTAAATGTGTGCTATGTTAATTGCTTTCATAAAATGTCGATCGAATAATTTTCGGGACAATTTCGCATAAAGGTCACATCAGTTTTCTGTTTACATATCTTGAATCATCTCTTTTTATTAGCATTCAAGCAACAGAGTTATATGTAATTACATTTAAAATGGGTGATATATAATCTAACAAGAAATAAATTCTCCATCGAAGTCTTTTAGGATTTTATTCTAATCTTTTCGCTCTTCTCTTGTTCAGAATTGCTCTTCTCTTGTTTTCTGTAACGCAGAAAAATACGACAATTTAACTTTTTGAATCAAAGATCGAAATCGGAATTTCGATTGTCGCGAATAAAGATCGTTTTCGCGCGCGTCTGTCACTATGTGTCTGTTTAAATCTTACTGTTAGTTTTTCGTACATACACATAAACGTTTCGCATATTCTTCGAAAAAAACTTTAAGGAATTAACAATCTAAATTCGCGGTCGTGTGCGGAGGAGAGAGCGTCACAGGTGTCATCGATGATAATGATCGTTCAATCGATTGTATCGCTGGGGTGTGTTGCTTGATCAACATGTGTCGCAGCGACTGCGCTTCCTCCCGAAGGGTGACTATCTGCGCCTTTAGAATTGCGTTCTCGTGCTCCAGCATTGTCGCCCTCAGAGCAATCTACGTAAAAAGGTAAATTTTCTTCATTATATCAAATTAATCTACATTGATTTAATCAATGATCAAATTAATCTGTATTGGTTACTTTTTATACTTCTTCTAAGAATTAAAGAACTAAAAGTAAATTAAACGTTGATAGAAGTGGATATAAAGAAATCTAATCTTTTATTCAAACGAATTCATTTAATAAGCAAAATTTAATAATTGGGAATGTTATAACTTTGAAATTAATAATTCGAGAAATTAATAATCTCCATAACGGAATACCGTGCTACACATCGATCGTCGATTAAGTTGATTGGTCATTCTAAGATGTATGTTGATCTTACGTGATCTTCCCTAATTTTGCGGGCATCTCGCGATTTTTTCGCTGCCTGGTTATTCCGTTTACGTCTCTCATAATATTTCTCGTCTTTCTGATCATCCGGAATCGGTTTCTTTTCACTTCTGGGTCTTCTGTGAAGAGCGTTTATGCCATTTGTAGTGACGAAGTGACGGCTCATAGCACCTGTTTCAATCGATGAAAATATATACGTTATTATTATGCATGTGTTAATGACATGCACAGGTATGACTTTCACGATAAATAAAAGAAAAAAAAATTCTGCCCCGGGTGAGGATCGAACTCACGACCTTAAGATTATGAGACTTACGCGCTGCCTACTGCGCTACCGAGGCAGTTGACAGTACCCGCTTAATCACAGAATAAGTATTGAATATTTCCGTGCAAATGTTCAATAAATTTTAAAATTATTTAAAGAAAGAATCGAATGTTAAAGCGAGGATTAAAAATTACCCGTGGGGGAAGTTGAGAATGGTTGAGGCACGCT